AATATTATTCTAATATTTGTGGGGTTTTTTTTGAGACAGAGTCTCACACTGCCATCCAAGCTGGAGTGCAGTGGTGCAATCTTGGCTCAATGCAACCTCTGCCTCCTGGGATCACACGATTCTCCTGCCTCAGCCTCCTGAGTAACCTGGGATTATGGGTGTATGCCACCACACCCGGCTAATTTTTGTATTTTTTGGTAGAGACGGCCCATTAGCTAGGCTGGTCTCAAATTCTTGACCTCAAGTGATCTGCCCACCTCAGCCTCCCAAAGTGCTAGGGTTACAGGCATGGGCCACCTTGCCCAGCCATTTGTCCGCTTTTTAATGGGATTGTTTTTGTCTTATTAATATGTTTAAGTTCCTTATAGATTCTGGATATTCAAAGTTTTTCAGACAGATAGGTTGCAAATATTTTCTCCTATTGTGTGGGTTGTCAGTTTACTTTATGGGTAGTTTCTTTTGCTGTGCAGAAGTTCTTTAGTTTAATTAGGTCCCATTTGTCAATTTTTGTTTTCATTGCAATTGCTTTTGGCATCTTCCTCATGAAATTTTTGCCAGGACCTTTGTTCAGAATGGTATTTCCTAGATTTTCTTCAAGAGTTTTTAAAGTTCTAGGTTTTACATTTAAGTCTTTCATCCATCTTCCATTGATCTGTGTATATGGTATAAGGAAGGGGTCCAGTTTCAGTCTTCTGCATATGGCTAGCCAGTTATCTCAGCATCACTTATTGAGTAGGGAGTCCTTTCCCCATTGCCTGTTTTTGTTAATATTATCAAAGATCAGATGGTTATAGGTTTGCAGCTTTATTTCTGGGCATTTTATTCTGTTCCGTTGGTCTGTGTCTGTTTTTGTACCAGTAGCATGCTGTTTTGGTTACCTTAGCCTTGTAGTATAGTTTAAAATTGGGTAATATGATACCTCCAGATTTGTTCTTTTTTACTTAGAATTGCTTTGGCTATTTGGGCTCTTTTTGGTTTCATATTAATTTTAGAATATTTTTTCTAATTATCTGAAGAATGTCATTGGTTGTTTGATAAGAATAGCATTGAATCTGTAAATTGCTTGGAATAGTATGGCCATTTTAACAATATCAGTTCTTCCTATTCATGAACATGGAATGTGTCCCATTTGTGTGTGTCGTTTTTTATTTTTCAGCAGTGTTTTGTAGTTCTTACTATAGAGATCTTTCACATTCCTGGTTAGATGTATTCCTAGGTATTTGTGGCGGGGGGGAGCTATTGTGAATGGGATTGCGTTCCTGATTTGGCACTCAGCTTGGATGTTGTTGGTGTATGGAAACGCACCAACATTGCACAATGTCACATATTACTTATTACCCAATATAATAAATTGATTTTTTTTATCCTGAAACTTTGCTGAAGTTGTTTATCCGATCTAGCAGATTTGGGGATGACCCTAGGGGGTTTTCTAGATATTAAACCATATAATCTGCAAACAGAGATACTTTGACTTCCTCTCTTCCTATTTGGATGTCTTTTACTTCTTTCTCTTACCTAATTGCTCTGGTTAGGACTTCCAGTACTATGTTGAACAAATGGTGAGAATGAGCATCCTTGTCTTGTTCTGGTTCAAGAGAAATACTTCCAGCTTTTGCCCATTAAGTATGATGTTGGCCGTGGTTTTGTCCTAAATGGCTCTTATTATTTTGAGATATGCTCCTTCAATGTCTAGTTTGTTGAGGGTTTTAACATAAAAGGATGTTGAATTTTATCAAATGCCTTGAGATGGTCATGTGGGGGCTTTTTTACTTCTGTTTATGTGATGGATCATATTTATTGATTTGCATATGTTGAATCAAACATGCATTCCAGTGATAAAACCTACTTGGTTGTGGTGAATGCGCTTTTTGACATGCTGCTGGATTCAATTTGCTAGTATTTTGATGAGGATTTTTGCACCTATATTCATCACAGTTGTTGTCCTTAAGTTTTCTTTTTTTGTTGTATCTCTGCCAGGTTTTGGTATCAGAATGATACCTAACTCATAGAATGATACCTGACTCATAGAATGAGTTAGGAAGGAGTCCCTCCTCCTCAATTTTTTTGAATAGTTTCAGTAGAAATGGTGCCAGCTCTTCTTTATTTGTCGGATAGAATTCAGCTGTGAATCTCTCTGGTCCTGGCCTTTTTCTGGTTGCTAGAATTCTTATTACTGGTTCCATTTTAGAATTTGTTATTGTTCTGTTCAGGGTTCTAATTTCTTCCTGGTTCAGTCTTAGGAATTTATCTATTTTTTGTAGGTTTTTCTAGTTTGTGTGAATAGAGATGTTCACAATCGTCTCTGAGGATTTTTTCTATTTCTGTGGGGTCAGTGGTAATGTCCTCTTTGTCATTTCTGGTTGTGTTTATTTGGATCTTCTCTTTTTTTATTTTTTTCTTTATTAGTCTAGTTAGTGTTCTATCAATCTTATTTATTCTTCCGCAGAACAAACTTCTGATTTTGTTGATCTTTTATGTGTTTTATTTCCATTTCAATTTCATTTAATTCATCTCCAATTTTGGTTATTTCTTGTCTTCTGCCAGCTTTGGGATTGATTTGCTCTTGTTTTTCTAATTCTATTTGTGATATTAGGTTGCTAATTTGAGATTTCTCTAACTTTCTGATAGGGGCATTTACTGCTATGAACTTACCTCTTAACACTGCTTTACCTGTATCCCAGAGATTTGGTATACTATATCTTTGTTCTCATTGTTTCAAATAATGTTTTGATTTCTGCCTCAGTTTCATTGTTTGCCCAAAAGTCACTCAGGAGCAG